GACTTTGTCACAGAAGCACTAAGTGTGGAGAAGGAGAACGTCCTAGGAACCGTGTCGTTGGCGGAAAACGACTTGAGTGACGTAAGCCTGATTCCGCTTTTAGAACGTGTAGTCCGGCAACACGGGGAGAAGTTGCAAGACCTCGATTTGAGCGGGAATAAGCGACTCAGTTTCATGGGACTGAACTACTTGCGGAATAGTGTACCGAGTGTGCGCAATTTGAACCGTCTGTGCCTGAATGGGATTGCTTTGCAGCAATTGTTCGAGCCGTTGTGTGAGGACTTAGCGAACAATTGCAGCTTTCTCTCGATTTTGTGCCTTTCCGACTGTCGATTGGGTGCAGTTAGTGGTGGCGAGCCCAGTGAGAACTTTTTTGAGTTGGTGGCACAACGTTTGAAATCACTTGATTTGTCCCATAACAACCTCCAGAAGCCTCAGTTCTACCATCAACTGGGAGTTGCGTCAGTGGAGTCCTTGAAACTGTCCTTTTTGGACTTAAGTTTCAACGCTCCTGACAGGCAGCTGCTGGACGTTTCGCCATCGATTATGCATGCAGCTTTGACGGGTAGCTACGAGAGCCGAAATCCTCTAGCTGGAGAAGGAGCTGCTTCGGATAAAAAAGCTGCAGCAGGAGCAGCACAAACAGCCGATGGCTCATCTTCAAGCACAGCTAGTACAATAGCCCCGCCGCCGGACAAGGCCACACTCGACTTACTCCGGTCCGTGAACCCATTAGTCTGGTTTTTCGTGCAACTGAAAAATCAAAGGACTTTGCGCTCTCTAGTGGCCCAGAGTTGCGGCGTTGATGCGGGAATAGACCTGCTTCTGTGCGAAACGTTGTCTAGTGGTAACTCAGCCCTCCGTTCTTTGGATTTGCGGCAAAACCCACATGGCTATTTTGGCATCCAATATTTGACACGGGCGTTGCTCCAGCAAGCCAACCAGGTCGCGACGAGACCGGCAGCGGGAAAAAAAGCGAAGGGACGGAGTGGAATGAGTATTAGAGATGAAATTGAAATGTAGATGAACTGTATAAGTATATGAACTACTACGTGGAATAAGTAGTAGAGATGAAATCGAAATGTAGATGAGCTGTCTATGAACTACTACAATAAATGAAAATTATTTATTGTTCCTCTTCCTCAATAATCGTCTGTTACAGCTTTCGTACTTGTTGTACATGTTCAAGGAGTTCTTGTAGCGCTTAAGAAAGCACTCACTGAAAATGTTTTTTGTCTGAAAATTTAGATCGTCATTTGTATCTTCAGCTTACTTATAATTATATTTTCACGTAAGTAAGTATTAGAAATGCCCAAGCCCAACATACTTTTCCCCTAGGTGGTACGCTTCCTCTGCTGGCGAACAAGCCAGGCCATCAAGAGGCCATGGATCAGCTGCTGAGGGAGAGCCATAACGAGGTAGTCGCCATCGAATTGGGAACCACGAGTGCGACCAGTACCGTCAGTAGCGTGGCTATCGGCGAGCCAAGGGCAGGCGCAGAGGGCGCCGCGATTCAAGAAGTCATGTCGGGTGTAGCCGGAGGCGCCGAGAGCGGCGTGTTGCAAGGCCCCCAAGGCATTGCCGCGCTCATGGCAAAGACGGGAGAGTCAGGCTTCGGCACTGCTGCAGTGGGTGGAGATCCAGCACAACAACAATTTCGTTCAATTGCTGGTGCCGTGTCAGGAGATCCGAACCGGCCTAGTGCGGCAATGAGCGGCGCAGCACTAGCTGCTCTGTACAAGCGACAATTGGGCGGCGCGGAGCATGTTTTTTGGGACTTTTCAACCCCTAAACCCGGTCGCTACCGATTCTGCCTGAAGAACCCGGTGCACGATTGTCTTTTCCGCACGTTGAAAAAGCACGTGGAGGAGCTGTTACCTGGCCATCTAGTGGCAACCTCAGTCGTGCTGGATGGCGTTCCGCAGTCAAAAGGCTTGGCTGCTGTGCCTGCAGGAGGTGCGAGCACGCTGATAAGTAGCAATCAAAAACCTCTACCATTTGCGGAAATCACTCTCAGTCCTGGTTGGGACCGGGACTTGGCCAGGTTGTTTCCCGCACGTGCAGCCCCACCTTCAGAAGCGGAGCTGCTTCAGCCGGGTGCAGCAGGTGCTAAGCCGAAAGCCAAGGCAAAGGCGAAAGCTGGCAAAGGTGCTGCAGATAGTACTGTAAGCGGACTTTTCGCACCCGACGAAAAAACTGTGACTCACGTGCATCCATGTGAGTACCTGTATACCTACGGAGGAGCGTTGCGGTCGGATGTGGCTCTGTGCGGTCTAGTTGGCGTTTTACAGCTGCTACAGAATGACATCTTAGTGTCTGACGGACCACTGATTTCGCTTCTTGCGCGAATGCTACACCTAAAACCTGCGCAGTTTCGTATGGTAGAACGATATTTGGAGGCTCGTCACAAGCGATCCGCTGTTCTGGGACTAGTGGTTAAGGATGCCGTTGCTGGGTTTCATTGTCTTGATCTTGTAATATGACACTGTGTAATTTTTGAGTCCCCCTCGTGGCGGGTAGGAGATGCTATAATAGCAGGAGATCATCCAGTTCCCCTTGTAAAAGAAGTAGAAGTCAACTACTTACAAGCAGGGGTACGACCTCGCTCAGGGACCAACATCAACAAACTACCTCTTCTAAAGCAAGCACGATCTTGCCGATCACGGGACACGAGGCTGCGGACACTGGAGCTCAGATCGTGTCGGTGCTGAAGAAACCGAATCGGGAACTAATGCGCAGCGTCGGCAAGGGCGTAGCCTTCAACGCGCGTAACCCAGGTGGCAGATATCTGCTGGACCTCCGCTCTCCGCATGACCAGCTCTTGGCAGACTATCTCCAAAAGTTGAATCAATTCGACCGTCTCTGCCTGCGTCGGGGGATCGACAAGAACTGTGTGGCGACCTTGAGCAAAGCACTTGGTCGCGAAACAGCTAGGGCGATGCAAGAGTTCGCGTGCGTGCGTAGCTCTATTCGGAACGTGAAGCTGCGAAAGAGTGCGATTACACCCTTAGAATGGTCACGCGCGCAGCTAGAGGTGCTTCTGGGCAGTGCGCAGGGCCTCATTCCAGCTGCAGAGGCACGCAGCGAGCAAGAGACCGCGGACTTGGCGGCAGCACTAGCGGCAATGGACAGTGCGGAAGTTGAAGAGGGGAAGGCGGCCATTGTAAACGACTTCAATCAGTTGTTTGTGACTATTACGGCCTAGTTTTACTTACAACATTGTGCAATCTTCGTCTTCAGGCTTATAGTAGAAGCATCTGCTGCCATCTGGGCTTTGGAAAGGTTTTTACATACCATACGATTACACATACTTACGACGAGTGCACCACATCCACTAGTACCCAATATGTTCTTTCTCAAAGTCAAAATCAAGATGAAGTAACAGTAACTACTACTTGATTGACAATGACAGCACTTAGACAAGTACTTCTAATCTGAGCACCCAAAGACACTACGAGCACCTAATGGGCCTCAGGGAAACGTCATCAGGAATCGGCAAGGGATCCGAGGTCTTTGATATTCGCCTGTCGAACCAGTCTGTGTGGGATCTGACATTCGCCGATGTGTCAGAGACAAAAGTGGGCTACTCTTTCGACTACATTGGCGTCAACTGGTTCGCGATCGGTGTTGAGAAAGGTGGAGAAGTACCGTCGGCTCATGGCAGAGGTTCTACGTCGACTGCGTCTGTTGTATCTTCTAGTCGTGGAGGAGGTGCGGGTGCTGCTACAGGTGCTAGTGGAGCTGCTGACCAACAACAGCAACAGGCTAGTCCCATGGTGACAAAGATCTTAGACATTTTCAACTACGAACGCAATGCAGTTTTCGCAGTAGAGGACTTGGTTCGCGGCCTTCATAGTATTTCTCACCATCTGACTTTAACCGCAACTGACGTGGTCATGGTCATGCGCTACGTTTACGGGTTCTCCTATTGCGTCCTTCACAACCATCCTTAGCCGTTTTCCAAGTCGTGGAAAACAACGACAAGGCAAGGAGGGTCTGAAGAATGCAACAGCGCAAGAACATCTAAAGCATGCTGGAACGAGTACAAGAAGAGGAACGGGTAATTGAGAGGAGGAGAGAAGCTTGGCGCACCAAGTTTATGGAGAAGGATATGCGGCGAACAGGAAAAGTAGTACCCAGCGATCTGCTAGTTGACGAAGACGAAGGGGCAGTGCGGAAGTCGGGTTCAGGGAAGGAATTATGGCTAAAAAGGCGTGTTCTTTTAGTAGAACCTTCCGTCTTGCTGGTCTTGCCGCCCTTGTTGAGCATGATTGGAATTCATCCCTTAGCGCTGCTCTATGATCTGCATTTGTTCATATGCAGCAAGTTAATACAGAAAAAGTTATTTTTGTTACTTGTTTTACTGTAAGAGTAAGTAAGTCAAAGATGAACATGCGGCAGACGCAGAGAGAGACCATAGATTATGCTGAGCTCTAACCCAACCCTCAGGAGTAACAACCTCAGTAGCCGGACAAGCAGCGCCGCTCTCCTCTAGTAGTGTCGCGGCACGTGGGATTTCTCTTGCGTCGGCGCAGACAGCACAGACGAAGACAAAGCGTGGGCTCTCACCACTGCTGTTCGACGAGGAGGAATCGAGAAAAAAGGACCAATTAGAGGATGGAACGAAGGTGGAAGATTTATGGTCAGCTTTTATCCATTGATTTCTCTCAGCGTCTCGGCTGTACTCTTTGTTTTCCTATGATGTACAACAAGAAAATGGCACCGAGACGAGGGAGCCGAGCAGATGGATACAGGCACACTCTAAGAAGTGATGAGGACGATGACGAGGAGACTAGACAGCGAAGGGCACTAAGCAAGAGCTTGAGGCGGTCGAGTAAGACGATGGCAGAGTTGCTGTCACCGCTCTCTGACGCGCGTCGCAAGATAATACCTGAAATAAAAGACGAAGATATGTTGAATAATAGGTCTAGTCCTGCTCGAGGAAGTGGAATTGGGAGTCCTATTGCCGAAGGAGGTGGAGGTGGTAGTCCGTTTGCAGGTACTAGTCCATCCAACAGTAAGTCACGAAGTCGTGTCTTTGCCGGAGGTGCCAATAGCATTAAGGCTTCCCCTAATCCATCTCTAGAGGGATCCCTCAAGCGTATGCGCGAACAGCATGCACCCCAAGGGATACAAGGCGGCTATCAAAGCATACGCTTGAGGGATCTCCACATGGATGAACTAGGGAGAGGTCTAACAGCATCGCTGCGAACGCTGGGCATCTGATAGAGCACGCAATGGAACTGAAAAGTAGCCGGCTACTGCGTGGGAATTCCTTCGGTTCTTTCGAATCTGCGAGTCCTGTGTACCGCTCGCTCCAAACGTCGCCGCGTGAATCTTAAGGCAGGAGCTTCCTAGAATATGATTACTTAGTTACAAGTGCAAGTTCGAGAATCGCATGCTTCTTACTCCTCCAGGACTACAATGAGAAGATGTATACATAGGAAGAATAATTTCATCTCATCATGTACTGACACTGAGTAGTCTATTGCTAGTTCATAGGTTTTATTTCTATAAGTGAGTTTTCAGAAGATGGATTTTCCCTTTCTACTAGTGATGCGTTAATCATGTCTATTCCTACTTTATGAGCTTCTGTTTCATTTCTAACACCTCAAGGGTGCGAAAAAGAAGAGATTATACACGCCAGTTGTTGAAGATGGGCGAACGCATTCTGTCTTCGTGTGGGACGACGCGAAGGAATATGCGGAGCAGAAGTTTGTCACAGGAACTTCTGGTAGATTAAGGCTTCTTCATATTCATCTAGAGATTATATTCGTATTCATCTAGAAAGAGAGTGAGGCATCTTTGAAGATCGATGAAATCTTTTTTGCAAGGGAAAAGACCTTCACTTTTTAGAATTTTTTGGTTTTTTCCTAGTTCGGTTGGCTTCACCAATATACTCCACCAAGATGAATATCTTCGGAAAGGTTTAAGTAGAGCTGCAAGTGGTGAGTCAGCTCCCGAACCTTTGGACCGTGAGGAACTAGTCGAGGTTTTACTAGTCCTAGCCCCACGTTGCACCGCTTCAACGCAGGAATTGTTGCGACAAGTTTTGAATGAGTTCACGACATCTTCTGGCACATCATCAAGCACAGGTACCTCCAATGCTGGAGGTGGACGTCGACAGCTGATCACGGACAGCGATGCAGTAGTACAGAAACAGAAACAATTAGATCAGGAGCAGAAGAACATCAATCGGAAAGACGTCGACAAGGACGACAAGGATGAGCTGCATGCTGAGGCTGAGGGTTTCACTCTACTAGCGGGTGAGGATGAGGAGGTCTTGGGCACTGCCGTGGCAATCGAGGACGCTGACGGGATTGAGGTCGGATTTTTGTGGGAAGAAAGCGAGATCTGGAGCAGACCAAAACCTGCTTCGAGAAGTGAAATCGCACTCTCACAAGTCTTGGGGTCTCGAACGACCTTACATGATCCAGAAGAATGGTTTCTTCCTCAACATAGCCATGGTCAGAGTGCAGTGCCAGTAGACGATGTCACGAATAGAGAACATCATCATACGTTTACCTTCGAGTTAGATCGTGCTAGCGAACGCTTCTTACTTTTAGCGTTGCTGGAACAGACACCCCCAGACGCCTTCGCAGCATGCTTCAGCAACGTAGTGTTTTCTGAAATTGTCTTTAAGGTAAAGGTCGCCTACACTTGTAAAACGCTTTTTTCCGCTTAGGGCGTAGGAGGGGGCTTCTTCGAGGCAACAAGACAAAACACGCTATGAGCAATATTCAAAGTGACAGTGAGCACGGCGACTACTTGCAGTTTCAGTCTAGTTAGCATGCTCACATCTCCAGTCTGTTAGCTTCTAGTAAGCCCTATTGATTCTCTAAGATCCCCGTTGTTGTGCGACACGAAAACGCTGCAGCGTTGGCAGAAGCCGAAGACGAGGACACTCCTGATGTTAAAGTAGTAGCAGCCGCTTCTACGGTTGTACAGTTAAGGCAGCTCATATTAGTTTTCTTCTTGCATTCGGAGAACACACGCTTAGAAGGTTGACGATGTCTTTTTCTCAGTTTAGTCCATCTCTTAGATTTTTGCGAGAACACGACCATACAACTAGAACAAGATAAATTGCTTACGCTTAGTACTAATAGTAAGTAGTACTTCTTGATCTTGACTGATTTCTGCTTGCGCTAATCCAAAAGCCGGTGAAGTACTATGTGAGGAACGAGATCAGCGAGACGCGGTGGCTGTCAGCCTATCTAGCCGCAGATCCGACCAAAGGGCTACTGGGCGGACCCGATTCCAAAGCGACGATCCTTAAGAAAGTGAAAGTCTCATGCATTCTCTACTTACATTGATCATCTTGTTGATCATAAATCAGAAGATGTTCAAGTTTTTTTACAACATGATTGATTCATCGATCGTGTTGATCATTTAAGTCTCTCCTCGTCTTGGTTTATTTTTTCTTGGTCTTCTTCCTTGTCGTTTATCGGCACCAATCCTAAGAAATACCCAGGTCGTCTACTTCTTGGTGACCAATAAATATTTATCCTCTGTACAACTTGTCTAGAGGACGAAAAGATTTACTTGCAGATGAAATAACATTTCTAGAAAAGCTACTCGTGAGAAAGGAAACTTATGTTCAAAAATCAAATTCTTCTAACCTTACCAACGACGTGTACGAATCCAAGGCACGATTGAAGCAGCTCATCAAGGAAGGCTCTTTCGAATTTTTGCGGAAGATTCGCATGGAACGGTCTGACCTCTCCTTAAGGCTTTAAAAGATTTTTCAAAGGCTCACTTTATAAATATGATCCTGGACCATTTTGTTTAAATTTGAAGCATCTTGAAGGAGCAGGCTTCTTTAAATGATTTTGGATCATCACCTGCTTTAGATTTAATGCAGCTTGTAAGAGTGGTGTTAGGTCGTCATCTAACACTCAAGAGAAATATACCACCGACTAGGTATCAAGACGAGAAAATGAAAAACAGTACCCAGGGTAGTCCACCTGCAGCACCTAGTGGTAGCTAGTACCAAGTACATGCGTTCTATTCGATTTCATCAAAATGGAACTTTTTTTTGTAGTGTGAGCGAGTTCCGCAGAGAGCCTGCCCACATATTTGTAGTGTGAGCGAGTTCCATGAAGAACCTAACTGCGTATTTGCCGCGTAGCTACCGGCATAGGGCGGCGCTTTTGATCTCTTTAGACTGCTAGTTTTTATGGGTGTATTAGATTAGTGTTAGTTATGGACCTAATAAAGATTAACTAATCCACTATCGTCTAGAACAACTGCATTATTGCGGTTGCAATAGATCTAATGGCATCCCTGCGCGGCACCTTGATGTTTGAGATGGCGAAGTTGCCGTACAAGGAGGAGAAGATTGCAGCCTTCAAGAAGATGCTCGCATGCATGTAGACTCTCAGAAGAACAAGATACTCGCATTATGAATGTGGACTCGAAGAACAAGATACTCGCATCATGCATTTAGACTCTTAGTACTAAGGGTCGTGACTTCGGAAATTAGCATATTGGTATTAGGAGTTAGAATCATGTGCTTAGTTTATTTTAGTCCTGCCTCATTTTCTCACTTATTAAGTTCTTGATTGTTAGATGTGCGCCTGCTTTATTTCTATTTGACTTAAAACAACGTAACGAAATAGATTAACACGAAAAACGAGTATACGAAGGAACATGTGAAATTTAGATTCATTCATAACAATGTCAACATATTAGGACTCGACTACATTGATATTCAGAGTGATTGTTTGTTTAGACTCAAAAATCAATAGAAATCTATAGAAATTAACATCTTTTTCTTGTCTTAGATGACGGGAGAGCCAGCTTATTTCCTTTCGACTACTTGACTATTTCATCCTTGCTGCATAAAAATTGTTATTCACCCGCCCATTTACCTCGGTTCTTCATATTGAGCCATTTGTTTTTGTCAAAGAAGATTGGAAAATACAACACTTCTCAACATAATCGACCAGGTATGATCATCTAGATCTATAGTACGATTTGTCGATATCATTTGACAAGACTCCCTCAAACTCAAGTATCTATTACCATAAAAAGGTCATACTACTTCTTAAGGCTGCTCACATCATATCGATCCGCATCCGTATTTGTGGATTAGAAAAGACCACGTGAGCTGTCACATGACCATGATTAACCACGTGAGCTGTTACACGAACATGGGTCTCATATACGTACATGAAAAGAGGAATCATGGAACGGCTTTCCTACAACTTCTGCACCTGCAGTTCTTCAGAGAGCGATTCAATACGAGAAAGGTTCTGATGCGCTTACTACAGTTTTCCTTGTTTTCTTTATGATGATGTTGCTCAAGAACATCTTGAAGGAGGACTCGGTAAACGGTCGCAACTGATGAGGTACGACAAAGGTCAGGATGAAGTCTGTTTGAGTCCTGATGCGCTGGTCCTTTGGCCGAAGCCTTTGGAATTGAAATCGGTGCTGATTCTCGACTACTACTCACCCACTACTCACCCACTACTCACCCACTACTCACCCACTACTCACCCACTACTCACCCACTACTCACCCACTACTCACCCACTACTCACCCACTACTCACCCACTACTCACCCACTACTCACCCACTACTCACCCACTACTCACCCACTCACTCACTCACTCACTCACCCACTCGCCGCTTTCGTATACCTCAACATCAACATCTTAGGAAGGTTATTTTGTTATCATTTCGTGGAGAAGTGGAGATAGGACAGTCTTGCAGACGAGTTGTCTTTACCAGGACATAGAGACTGAGAAAATGATCTCCAACAAGAAATGTCTATCTTCGAGCAAGCGAGCCTGTGAAGCAGGCAAACCTGTGAAACAGAGAGGCAGGAACACGTGTTGGCGCTCGCAGCAGAGATGCATCTCTCTGATCACGACCCTGATTGCGACTCTCCGTGGGGTAGAGGCTGAAAGGAACAAGCGCGTTCGAGGTTTGCCAGCCGTAGGTATTGAAGGAAGTCTACGTCGTCTAAAGCTTGTTGAAATGTTGTTGTTGGGTAAACCACTACTATTCATCGACCCCCAGTTGAATGGACAAACTCGTAAACTGCTACTAATACTAATACTAATACTAATACTAATACTAATACTAATACTAATACTAATACTAATATGTTCCTTCTTGGTACCTGTAGGACTCTTCTTTTCTTTTTTTCTCAAAAACTAATCTTCAATCTAATCTGTATTTATCGTGGTCACAAAACAAAAACTAATCAAACTAATCAATCTACTCTTACTAATCTCACAGTTCCTCTTTATTTTAGGTCATTCACCTGCGGATCTTCACAGCAGCGGTGAGGGTGTAGGGCTACGCGGAATTAGGAATTACCTTCGCGGATCATTTTTAAGTATTGACGCAGAAGCAAAAAGCACAGACGGAAAAGGCACAGACGGAAATGACGGCAAGGCGGATAGTTGCTCAAAAATATGTACTGAATTTACGACCACTAATATGCCCACAAAGAAAACTAAGCGGTTTACTTTCCGTCGACTATATCCGTTCCAACCACTATTAGGTAGTACTAATATTACGAAACAACTAGTACAATTGAAGCTACAATTATCCTATTCTTTTGTAGTTCTTTGGAAGTAGTTCGCTGGTCACCTTGATGACCTCAATCGAATCGTCCATTCATCATCACCTTTGTTCATCATCACCAGTCATACTTTATAGGTGGATCTGTCGTGACCGTGACGAGGCCTGGATTCCCTTTCAAAATTCCCTTTAGGTCCGAGTAAGGAGAAGGAAGAGGAGACGCTAAAGACTGCCGCTGTCTCTTCAGGTGCGCCCGTGGCTGAGCCCAAGTCCAAGAACCCGGAAATGCAACCCGAACCAAAGCCGCGAAAAATGGTAGTACTCGAAGATCGAACTAGAATACAATAAGTTTTATCCCTTTGAAGTTGTGAAGACAGATAATAGAAATGCCAACTTGATTTTATAAAAGTTTGTAACTTCTGCATGTTCCCAAGGGACCTCCTGGCCTCTGCTCCCCCTCGCAGGCTGGAGGTCTCCGGGGTAGAAGGCCGCCGAGGGCGGCCACGGTCTCACGAGCAACCTAGCAGGCCGATGACCAAGGACCTGGAGGGTACAGGCCACACGGCTCAGGGGGTTCAGCTTTGCGCCCTTCGCCGCCTTCGGAAGCCTTCCACACCCGGCGCACTGCTGCGGCGGCGAAGCGCTTAGGCAGCAGTCTGTAGGCTACACGCAGGCAGCTGGAAGGGGGCGGAGGAGGTCCCTTGGACCCCTTTGGAAGCCTTCCACCCCCGGCAGACGCTTGCAAAAGGGGCCCGGGGATCCACGGCCCCCGCCCCCTCACTTACATTTTATTTCTGTAATAAAACAAAGGTACCGCTAGGCGAGCTCAACAACCCACAGGATCAGGCCCAAGAGATCAACGACAGACTAAAGCACGCAGAAGCATTGGCAAACTACACCCCACCGCCGGATGCACATAAAAATATATTTTATATACTCTTTGTTCATGTAAGTCTAAGTGATGTCTTATTAGTTATTTTATGTAACCTACTTACAAATTATCATTTGTTGCGAAAAACAAAAAGTAAGTCTCTTCTCTTCTTTGTTTCTGATGATTCAAATGTCCTAGCTAGGATCTTCCCACTAGCACTAGCATGTAAAAAGGAAGTTCTGATTCTGAGTGGACTCAATAATATCCAAGAACGATGATCATGCCTAATATGCATAGAAGAGCAAGAAGTTGTAGAGGAGGTATCCATCGCGATCCACCCATCCAAGAAGCAAGACAAACTGCAAAGATGAAAATGATCATTGCACCTCTCAAATAGGATAACGATTCCTTTACTCCTCGTATTCCTTCTGCCCCTGGTACCACTCCTACCATTCCCACTACTCCTACCCCCGTGTTTCTCCCACTCCTACTCCTCCTACTTCTCCCACTCCTCCCCCTAAGCTTCCTAACCTACGACTTTGTCGTTAAAAACTCTACCCTTCAGCTCGAGAAGAACTTGCTAAAGAAGCGGAAATCATTCAAGGAGCCCTGGATAAAACTGATGCGAAGCGGGAGGTACTCAACTAAGATCTTTTTTTTGGATGGTATTGTTCATCCATTTGCATTTGCTTTCCATTTTCAGCCAGAAGACCGATCAAGAAGGGGAATAGAGTGGACTTTTATTTTTACTTCTAAGTAGGTAGAGTGTGAAACTACAATACAATATAGAACAAGATAAGAAAATTTTTTTGAGGTAGTATACAACTTAAATCTATCAGAAAGAGAAAGCGGAGTTTGACGCAAAATTTGACGCAGACAAAAAGAGGTTTGACGCGGACCATGAAGACTTCCGGCGGAACCACCCCCAGACGCCGGAAGAAGAGAATCGCAGTAGGGAGGAGCTGGAGAAGGCCTTGGCAGGGACCAACCGGCAGCACCAGCAGCTGTTGGACGAGCAGGCAGAAATGGAGCGGAAGTTCCAGGAGCAAATGGCAAAGATCAACAAATAAAACAAGAACGGCAGTTTCTGACTTCGAAGAGGAAAAAGCATCAGGCAAGTAAGTGATGTTGACATTGTCGTATGATGTTTGATTTCAGTAGTATAAGGCGCTCACGACTTACTACTACTTACAAAGGAGCTAGTACGTAGATTTGATTGTTTAGTCTTGCAAGTAGTATTACACGTGGAGGTTCTTGAATACGTTTTTACACGTTTTGACGAAAATTCTTGAACGTAGTAGTACTACAACGGGAACTTGCTTCAATATTGGATCTGAAGTGCCTCTTGACTTGTTGTGTAAAAATGTGCATATTTTTTTTGATCTTTATCACAGACACATACTCAACAGACGGATGTCTTTGTTTTGAAAAACTGTAATGTAGTTTGGTCTTCCTCGGGTCACACGACACTGTAGAGAAACTAGAATCAACCATGCATACGAAAAAGAGGATGTTGTAGTCGTGGTCTTCGTGAAGATATACAAAACATAGGAAATGAACCTCTCCTGTCTTCCCTTACTCTTCGGACTGTGCCACCTGAATGGGATAACCACTACTGTACTGCGATGAAATAAAAAAGGGAAACTACAACAAATAAATGTAATTTTTTCCAAGAAGATGAAGATGAGGTTTTTTTTTGGTTACATGTACGTACCAGAAGTTTGGGAAGATTATGTAAATGTTACGAGAATGATTTTAGATCGTGGAGGCAGGTGGAGCCAACAATGTGGGTTCGGGCAACCGCACTGTTCTTCAGGTGGTTCCGTCTTCTCCCTTGCACTGTTGGACGGTAGAATGTGAGAGAGAGCTGACGAATGCCATATCGTTGTCGTGAGAACGAGAGCTGAAGAATATCAATATTGATTTTCAAAAAATTTTACCTTTAGACTGAGTGAAAGTTTCCACTTAAAAGACAGATGAAAACATAAGCATAATGTATTAACTGTTGATATTCATACATAATCTTTTTATTTTCCCCATTCGTTATTTATAACCCTGTCAGTCTGTCATCGGCCGTCATAGAAAGTATGCTCTACTGCGTTAACCGACCTTCGCTATAATTTCCTTTAGTCTCTACTCCACACTAGGAACAGTTGCTACAAACAATTACCATTCCACAACCTAAAAACCAAGCAAGCAAACCGATACCCTAAGCAAGCAAAGCGAGATCAGGACTATGTTTGCGTCGTCTACGTTCGACATAGGGGCCGCAGGGCGGCGTGGCTATAATGGCCGCGATCTGGCTGAGATCCAAGCCGAGATGGAAGATTATGCAAGACTTCATTTGCTAGAAGCTTTTTATGCTCATTTGAGACCATGTTCCACATGGTTATCATATATGACCCACAGCACCTTTTCCGAACAAAAATAGAAATCGAGGCCCTTGGTCTAAAACTGATAGAAGCTTTTTATGCTTAAGTATGCTTTTTATGCTCATTCTTGGTGATCCCACTGCTTGCTTATCGTTATCCGTACTAGTCACTGGCCTCTCAGTTATTTAGATTAGCCTTGTGCTTATGTAGTGTAAGTTGTAATCGGTCCGAGGCCCGGGGCGAGAGACGGCTAGATTATACCATTGAGTGAATTGAATTGGTCCTCTTCCGTTCTTGTCGTTCTACGTCTTCTAAGGTGATGACATACTTCTTTCGATTTTTCGAATTTTCTAATTGCCACATACCTCCTTTGATGAGGCACGGGCTGCTTTTGTTCGTTCGCAGATGGCAGAACACGGCATCGATGAAACAGGAATGCCTCAAGACTCCAAGTTATTTGTCTTCGGACCTCCAGCAATTGCTTCTTATGGTGTTGCGGGTAGTGGTGTCTCAGATAGCTTAAGTTTTAGTACGATTCAACACTACTAGGACTGCTATTACTACTAAAACTGCTAACACTACTAGGACTGCTATTACTACTAGGACTGCTATTACCAGGACTGCTAGTACTACTAGGACGACTAACTACCACAACTACTAAACATAAGTAGTAGGAGCAATGTCTGCAACTCATCGCTATTTCTACTTCTCAACAACAAGAATAAATAGGCACCGACTATCATTCGCTAATACTAGCAATACAATCCCGGTTCTTCGCCAAAGCAGACTGATTTCGCAGAATCAGCCCAGTTGATAGGCGCATCACGCACATCGGAGAATGAAAATGTCTTTTTTTTTACTTCCCCTGCTGTACGTTTGATTGATTTCCAGCGCGAGTAGGAGATCATCTACTTTCAACAGTATTGTTAAAGAATTTCTTTCATTGGTTAAATTCCCGTTATTCTTTGCTTCAGGCTACTGACTTGGTTAGAATCTTCACGCTTGTGGCTTCTTACGTCGGAAAACGAGAAAAATTTATATTTAATACTGAAATCTCTATCCATCGCTATCCTCGTCTTTCTCACTCAGTCCTTCACAGCTCAGGTCGTTCTGTTGCGTAATTTCGAAGGTGGGACACTTCCGGAAAGCGGCATTTATGGCCTGTTGATACGACCGTCTATCCATTCTTTCACGGACAAATCTTTCACGACGTGCAGTTGGTTCTTGAAGATTTTGATTCAATCATCTTCAGTGAGGCGGAAACCCTGTGGAAGGGGAGCCAAGTAGTGTCCTACCGTATCCCATAGTCTCCTTCCTGTCCCTGCCATACGACAGATGCCATTACTCTAATCCTTCTTCCTGCCAGAGGAGCGCTCGTCAAGGCATACCGGATTCGGAGCACTTGCGAGTATTCGACTTGCTGTAATAATCTTCTTCTTCTTAAGGAGACCTTTTAATTTACCGTTACCCATATTTCTAAGAGGACTCTGAAATAAGAACCAAATATGACTCATTGGAGAAGTACAGCTACGCTTCCCAGTGGGCTGATTAACGCACCGCCGCTCCCCACGATAGTGAGAGTCAGAGTGTATATTAAGGGAATCTTTCCAGGATTAGATTCTTACGCATCTTCCTTGTTCACTCAAGATTCTAATTCCCGGAACGCTCATTTTGTGTGTGGTGGCCCTCATCTCGGACGTGAGCGTCGGAAGTTGGATCTTCTACTCTCCAGCATCTGCGTATACTCCTGGCGAGACAGAAGTGTCTTCGATTGAGAGGGAGAGCAGGCAACATGGTCCTAAACAAGCAGCCATGCGAAACGAGAAGCAGAGCGGTAATGGTAAAGACGAGAGACAACAAGTTTAAGATGAGCATTCCATGATCTGTATTTCTAACTACTTCATCTTGTACAGCGGAAATTTCTAAGTAGGTGTAGGACTAACTGGAGGACTAACATTCAAGTTGTTATAGTTTTTGCTGGCTCTGGCTCTGGGTCTTGTCTGTGGACGCGCTGCGTGAGCGTAATGACAAGAAGAAGCAGTACTCTACTAGACTGTAAGAACTTCATCTAAACACTGAAGTTAGTAGATGTAGTTCGTTGTTGTTGTAAGTACTCATTTTTGACGTAGATAGTGATAGTCTACTGAATGGATCTGAATCTCTTCTAGTTCTGCTAAAAGACGCAGCCACCGAGAAAGAGGGAGCTAGGCAGGACGAAAGAGGTAGCGTACAGTAGCCAGCCCGATCAACAGGAGATGAAAAGACAAGAACAAGCCGATGAACAAATAAAGGACCCCGTTGTAGATCTAGATGATACCAGTATCTTAGCGTCAATACCTACTATGCCTGGGACAAGGACACTAGTAAAGCCTCGAGTGGACCAATCAGGAGGTCTTCAAGAGCATGAACATATTTCATCTTCCACTGAAAGGACGAGCACCCTTCTGGAAAAGGATGCTTCTGAAAATGATGCTACACCATTGACGGTGGAAATAAACTCCAAACAAGAATCTCAAAGCAGTGGAGATGATGTTACACCATTGATGAGGGAAAAATCGGACGCAGTGTACGAGTACGATCAAGCAGATATGATAATCTTGCTTTATTTCTGTACAACAGCTGCAGGAACACAGGAGCTGTGATGAGGCGGTCAGGTGGCAGTCTAAACTGTCCTCTAAACTCTAAATGTACAAATCCAAGATCTCAAGTGGTCCAGGGTAGAAGATCTTCCATGACATCAAAGATCGTGGCTAAAAAAGTCTCGTATCATCTCGTTACAACAATAAGGTCAATTGCCTGGATGATCTGGAAAGGCTTGATTGATCTGGAAAGGCTTGATTGATCTGGAAAGGCTTGAAGGTAGATCGATATTATTGTCGTGTATCATGACCATGAGATCTTGTCGTCCTGAAGAAGATCATCTCGACGATCAAGGAACAAAAATGGAGGTCGATCACTAACAAGATAGCCCTTCTTCTTGAGCAACTCCTCCGATAAGACCGAGTGTTATGGAAATCGAGTAGATTTAAATTCTTGTGTAAGTGTATCGACCTGGACGACCTAGTCAACGACCGACTCTAGAGATTCCTGTGTTATCATCTGCACCTTGTCAACCGACTACTTGCTAAGTCGATCAGGAGTGATACTTTTCCGTTTTCCACAGAAGTTCTTCCACTGACCAAGACCATATTAAGAGTTCATCTTGTTGTTGCACATAAGCTATATGTGAGTAAGAGTTAACGATAGCGCTTTTGCTCTCCTTGCTTTATTTGCATTTACTTTCTACAATTCAAGACTGAGCGGCAAACTACTTCCGAAGACCACACACACTCAGAATTATCATTCTGGTCTCATTTACAGCGAAGCAGATTGTTCTTTTATCATCACTAGTCGACATACTTCTACATACAGAATCTTCTTCAATCTCACAATTATTACAAGATGCTCCGTAAATGCAGTTCACGGGAGAAGTATACGATCTCACCGGACACAGAGATCGGCGAGCTGCGACAGGTGATCAAGAGTGTCCCCACGTTGGATGAGTACGTGGATGTTGCTTTTAAGGGTATATTCACCTTGAGAGGCATCTTTGGACCCCTTTTATTTTGGGGGAAAAACGCGTCAAAGATGCGCTTCAAGATGAATATCATCGGTAAGGTCTAATGTTTGCACCGCAGAGGCCGGCCGCTTCCTCGTAGCTGCGCGTGACATGCCGGAAGGGGAGTGGTTTCTTAGTGAATCCGTGCTCGTCAGCTGGCCAGCTCCTAAAGACCTTCTTCGGGATGGTCAAGTAGAAGTGGAGGATCATGGTCATCAAGAAGGTCCTCATGGTCAAGTAGAAGCTCAATCTGGACTAAATGAGGAGGAGGAGGAAAATGAGAAGGGGTCATCGCCGAGCAGCACGAGGACTTGCAGGAGCAACTACGGTAGTAATATTTCCAGTCCCAGTTGTTCTACGGAGACTTGTCTGAAGGAACCGGAAGTGCTCCTCTATTACGAGGATATATTCTGCGAGTTGCCCTGGCAAGACTGGGCCAAATGGCAACTGAGTACATCCCCTGACGCGGAAATCAGCTTGTTGCCTCTGGCTTGTTGTCTATGCCAGATAGCCGAGCAAATGACGGCAATGGGTCCAACGACACATGCAAATTTGTCTGCTGAAAAACCCCTTGAGCAGTCTGAATCATCCCCCTCTATCTCCTCTGAAGCTTCCTCCAAAAAGGAAGATGAAGAAAATCGACGGCTGGATGCTGCATTACGGAACTACGAGCGACTGTGTACCGTCCCAGCAGAGGTGAACGTGTCGTTTCAAAACTGCACTGTCGAAGACATCTACGCACAATTGAAAACGGCGGCTCACATGCACCCATTCATTAAGGCGAGGATGTTTTTGTTTTTGTAAATCTATCATGGGAATAGGTGGATCTTCACATCAAGAATTTAGACCAGGATTTTTTATGTTGAACAGTTAGGGTTGCAGTTTGTGTTGATGATGTTCTTGAATTGTTGTACAATTTGGATAATTTTTCTCTAATTTATACAAGCTGCCATCTTGGATGTGGGATGGAGGTCGGAGACCTCTGGATTTGTTGCAAAACTTAGCCGAGCGACTGTCTCAAAATGGGATTGGTTTCGGAGGACGCAGAAAGTTATGATATACTTTTGTAGAGTAGAGCTAGAGGATCGTATTGGAGGATGAGAGATGTAACCGTTTATTCTACTGATGCTAGATTTTCTTGTAGTAGAAGTAGAGAGAACAAAGTGTACCACTTGGAAGTACTCTCATATGCTCCAAATGTATTAGAAGATCATCAAGATCTGATCAACATTTCTTGACTTTTTTCTTCTAATTTTTGGTGTTTTTGTGCTTCTGAGTCTGTGTAACCACGACTGTTCCCCGAACGTGGAAGTGGAGTTGGATAATGAACAAGGGGTAAATTTGAAGACGACGCGGAACGTGAGAAAAGGGGAGGCTCTGTGCATCAACTACTGCTCCACCGCGCTGGGGGTAGTGGAGAGAAGGAACCGCCTCCGCCACTGGCATTTCGACTGCGTCTGTTCCCGCTGTACCGCAGAAGCTCTACTCGTTCAGGCTATCGGTGAGGAGAAGAAGCAGGCCAATGATGACGCTGAGGAGAAGAAATCCGTTCTTGGCGAGAAGGACAACGGAATGCATTCTGCAGACGCATTGAAAAAACGCAGATTGGAATGATGCATCTAAGTACACATAAACTGGGGCTTCTTGAAACCGCCCAGGAACATCAGCGGTCACATGAAGGCATCTTGTTTGTTAGATGTGATTGTGAATCTGACGAACCTTCCCTTTCCCTTAAAAATACGGAACTTCTCTTTCCCGTGTTGCATTCACAATTATGCTCAGACTAATATACTGAAGCCTAAGAGATGGAGAAATCCATCATGAGATGACGATCTATACTGATCCGTGTTTGAGATGGAGAGATCCATCATGAGATGACGATCTGTGCAGAGTGAGGTCTGAATAGCGAGAGGAGAGCAATTCTGTACCCGAGAGCAATGATATCTGAATCGAGGGAATATATTAGAGCTTCTGTTTTTGAGAGATGATGGCTATGACCATCTGTTTTCGAGAGAAAAGGGCAATAAACGTCGGCTTTCAACAACACATAATGGCCCACTGTGGTTCTGTCGGAGATGAGCAGCGCGTGGGATCTTCTTCATCACACCAAGAAGATAATATTATCTGTGCAATGTTGTCGAGCAGGACACCAGAGTATTCTTAGAGTGTCAGAAAACTTGGAAACAAATGGTCTGCTGTGGTCTGTATGAGGTTTAGCATCTGGTGCAAAGTGCGTCTCTGGGCGTCTCATGTCAATCAGTGAAGATTTATCAGCTTCCAACATAAAAATGTGCATGAATTTTCCAAGAAGCCAACGAAACACAACAGAGAAAAGCTTTGATCAGTTAAATCTGATTCCTCGTTTTCGCTCTCTTTTGAGAAAGCAATCAACTTTCTTCAAAATCAACCACATCAAGTATTCTTCTTTTGAAAAAGGTTTGACGCAAGCATCATCACCAAAAACATCAAGAACATCAACATCGTCATAAATTATCTTTGTCGCATCAACGTCAGCTGCAGCTACACACCTTTTTCTTCGACGTAGTAGAAGTCGAGAAACTAAAAAGAAAATGTCATCTCTCATCTCGTGTAAGCGTGCGGCGATTGTCGCAGGGTTTTCCACGGTTCAGGGCGTCCGTGTGGGTTTGCAGCGCCACACATCGTCCACCGAACTGGCGCCGAGTATGGCGTCGGCGATGATGGAAGTAAAGGTACATGCGGATGCGAGTGACGCTACAGGATTCCAATGCCGTGACATCGAATTCGACGGTGCTGGTGAGCCTACTACTCCTTTTTTGACGGCTTATGCTGCATTCATCCAGGAGAAGATTATCGGGCGCAATGGGCTGTTAAAGACCCTAGCCACGCGAAAGAATATTGTCGTGTCGGCGAGCACCTTTGATGACACCCTCAAGAATCAGTTGAAGATGGCGTGTCATCCAACTAGTAAGATTGAAACAAGCAAGATGTTGCTACGTGGACAGGTTAACTCGTCAGCTTCTGCGTTTATCACGGGAAGACAGCAAGAGAACAACTACAACTTCGCGCAGTTGCTTGCGAAAACATGTTGTCAGGCCACAGCTGTTCCTAATGTCCGAGCTCTACCAACTATCCCGGATGTCGATACTATAGAGCGAGATGAACAAAACGATGCTGCGTTAGAAACCGCCATCCAAGCTTCGGTGGATCCAAATCAAAGCGCAAACCGCGAACAAGCAGTTCGGGATCTGCAAGCAGCGCAGGTTCCCGCTTCGGGTGCCACACCGTCCAGCGCTTCGGCAACCGCTCCAGCTGCGGACCCGGCTACCACGAACGTGCCTGCGGCGGCTGCTGCAGCTCCAGCGGGTGCCGCAGAACCTCCTGCGAAGAAAGCGAAGAAGGACAGTCAATGCTGCGGAGGAAGGTGAATGTGTGGAAGAACTACTGGGAGGAGTTGTCATTCCTCGAAGATAGTTGTCATTGTGGAAGAACTACTGCGAGGAGGTGTGTGGATAAAGTAGTAGTTGTCATTGTGGAAGAACTACTGGGACGAGTAGTTGTGATAGTCGTGGGGGATGAGACTGATTGGGCGATGAAGGGGATTTAAAGGTAGCAAGGATGTGGAAAAAAAGCTTTATACCGAATTGTTGAGGGAGTGAATGAATATGAATCGAGGAAGCTATAAATGAATGAAAAAATCAAGTATTAGAACGATGAATTATGGGTATTACTAGGTCTACAGCTAAAACAATTCGGTGATAATTATATATTGATCATGAATGATAGAGCTAAAGAAAATGAAAAATGTTGAGTGAAAACACAGCATAACAATTATGAAGGCCGCCGCCGCAGATATGCACATACAGGGAGACATGTCATTCATTGAGAGATGACTAAAAATGAGTGGTCCTCGACACCAAACTAATCCTGTCTATCTTCCTTAGGGAAATAGACGAGGAGGACAGGGTGGTCGGGGGTGTTGTCTAGAATCATGGTGCGAAAGGGGCAGCTCTCATAATATCGAGAGATTGAATTGAATGTTTAGGTGATTCGAAGAGGATAGAAAAAATACGATAAGGGTAACGAAATAGTAATGGCCAATACATATGTATGAAAAAAAGTAAGTAAAAAGTAGAGGTAGAGAATAGAAAGCATAAAAATGCAATACACGAAAAACTAAAGGCATAAAGCATATAAAAAAAGATGCATCTCTGACAGGCCAGAAAATTACTTTCATTCGTGTCGAAACCCAAGGAACCAACATAGATGGTTAAAGGTTTTCCTTGACTCCTCGACTTGAGATCTGTCGTGACGCTCCTTGATTTCAAGGGAAACTGCGACAGATCAGCACACGACAGGTCTGGGACAAGTAATCTATCACTTTCCCAGGGATTATACATCGAAGAATGCTAGGTCTATTTTTCGGCATGGGAGAGGGACACCTTAGGGGAAAGGTCTGTTAGGGTCTAAGAGGTTATGGTCGAAGGGTGATTTATTGATTTGATGTGATTGTGGTCCATGAAATAATATACTGTAGGTGAATTATGTGCAGAAAGGTCTAAGGGGCCACCAAGGACAACTGAGTTGACATTCATCTGCGAGGGCCAAGCTCTGGAACAAGCGATGTGGTGGCGCATCTACGCAGAGCAAGTGTATGCAAGGATCACTTTCTTCCGAGAGTGCCAGGTGCTAAGACTCAAAGAAAACGATTAAGATTTAACTATTTTTTTTGAAACAAGTAGTAGAGTGAGTCGTGCTGCGCCAAGACTTCTCACCGATTTTTTTCTCCCCAACATCAAACACATTTGAAACGAAAATTTTATTGTTGTATTGTTGTCTGCTTGTGAGTGTGCTAGCAGGTTCATTGAAGATAGCTCATGCGTGCGTGACTTAGTCGAGAGCCTTTCAAATTGACACTTTTTTTCTGATAGACTGGAGATTCTAAGTCTACGCATAACGATGGATTGAAGATTCTAAGTCTACGCATAATGAAGATAATGCTATCTAGTGCAACGCATATTACACCTGTCTCCGATTGTCTTCAACGCCTCCTAACCATATGAGCAGCAGCATTTTATTTCAAACTTTTCCGTGGCATTTCAGACAGTGTACTACGCCGTAAGTGATTTTTCAACTGAAAGTCTCTGTTAGGCACAAGATCATGAATGTGCCAAGAAGTTTTTAGGTCATGCGAGGACTAAGTATTTCATTTTCCGAACGTTTTCTTGTGGTTCCCTGTGCTGCTGCTGAGTCTGGGTGATGTCCCAGCTGCGCACAAACTCAAATAGAAACACCGGAAACGTGAGTGATTGTTGATAAAGAATAGAGAATAAGATTGATGAAGAACAGCCGAGATATCTATAAGATAGAGATTTAGAATGAATGGGAAAAAGATTGGGAGTGCGTTTAAAAGGGATAGAGTTTTCGTGTTAGATGTTGTGGAAAGGGCCGTCGAGATGCGAAAAAAAACCAAAAAGA